ACATAACTATTAAGTGGGTGCCACCAAGTAGAAAGTCAAATTTGCTTTTTAAAAAATAAATAAGAGGGCTGGGGATGTGGCTCAAGCGGTAGCGCGCATGCGCGCTCGCCTGGGTTCGATCCTCAGCACCACATACAAACAAAGATGTTGTGTCCGCCGATAACTAAAAAATAAATATTAAAAAAATTAAAAAATAAATAAATAAATAAGATTACAAATAGGATAGCATGTAGAGGAAGAAGGGAACATGGCCGTGCAGCAAATACAGTATTGAGAATACATACCTCTGTGAAAATGGAGAATGCAGAAAATAAGCTGGTTTGACCCTGTTGAGAGGAATTGTCTGGTTCTGGGCTCCAATTAAAACAAACAGGGCTGGGGAGTAGTTCAGTGGTGGCACTTGCCTGCCATGTACAAGGGCACTGGGTGTTCCATTCCCGGTATTGAATGAATAAATAGAAACCTGAAGATTCTAAAAAGAGAACAATGTTAAAACCAAGGTGGAGGGCGTGGGGGAGGGGAAATGTGGCTCAGCAGTAGAGTGCTTGCCCAGCATTCATGAGGCCTTAGGTTCAACCCCCAGCACTGGGGTCAGTGAGGAACTCTCTAAAAAGTGAACTCACCAGTTGCCCCCACAAAAGGCAAAAGGGAAATTTAACAACTTCACTGGGCTTTGTTGTTAGATTTTGTTTTGTTTTGTTTTGTTTTGGGCTGGGGCGTGGGGAGGCACAGGTGATACTGGGGATAGAACTCAGGCCCTTTACCACTTAATGACATCCCCAAACCCCAACTCTTTTTTTTTTTTTTTTTTTGGAGACAGGGTCTCACTAAATTGTCCAGGATGGACTTGAATTTGCCATCTGCTTCAAGTAGCTCAGCCTCCAAGTAGCTGGGATCACAGAAGTACACCTCTGCACCTGGCAGAGTATTTTAAAAGAATTTACATACATCTGGCTAAAGTTTGAAATAGGAATAAGTAGTTACCTGCCAATAGAAAGTAATTAAGTCCAGGGATTAGCACAGATAACATTTTCTTCTCTGAGAAGTCTTCAGAAATTGGGGAAAATTTTATGCTCTTTGGGAAGGTCTAAATGTCATTCTTTCTATGTGAAAGATCAGATGATTTTTTAGGGCCCTCCCCAGGTCTACAATCTATACTTGACATTTCAAAAGCCAAATATGACAGCCTGTTTGTGCAGGAATTGCTGTCATAGGCTACTCTGCCTGAATTCATTTAAACTGGGACATGGGCACTATGACTCCGCTTCTCTTCAAAGTCAAATAACTAAGCAACAGTAATATTTTTTTAACATCCCCCGCCCCCGCCAAAAAAAAAAAAAAAAAACAGAATTACTATAGGCTCAGGAAATAATTTTAAAATTTATATGCTTCTCTCATATAGAGGACCTAGGACTATAGAGGTGAATATTTTTAAAAACTTGATGACATTTATGATGAATACCAAGTTTTAGATTATTCATAAAATCTGTTCCTCTGAAGCCAGGCATGATGGCATATTCCTGTAATGCCAGCTACTCCGAAGGACAAGGCAGGAGTTCGAGTTCAAGGCCAACTTGGGCAATATAGCAAGATTCTGTTTCAAAATAAAACTGTAAAAAAAAGGGCTGGGGATATAGCTCAGGTAAAATACAAAGGACTGAAAGTTCTGTTCAGTGGTAGAGCACTTGCTTAGCATGCTCAAAACTCTAGATTTAATCCCCAGCACAAAGAAGAAGGAGAAGGAGAAGAAGATGATCTATTCCTTTTGGGTGTTTGGCTTCTTAATCTGTTTTTTCCTTTGTTTCTGCAAATTATGGGAAGGATTTAAAGACATATTACTGGTGCTGAAATAATTCTGGACTCGCATTTTTCAAGGATTATGTAGCAGGGGAGAATAAAAGGTTAAGTTAGATAGTTGATATCCATCCAACTGAAGAAAAAACTAAAAAAGAAAATAAGGAGCTGGATGCAGTGGTGCATACCTGTAATCCCAGTTCTCAGGAGGCTGAGGCAGGAAGATCATAAATTTGAAGTCAGCCTCAACAATTCAGTAAGGTCCTGTTTCCAAACAGTAAATAAAAAGGGCTAGGGGGCTGGGGATGTGGCTCAAGCGGTAGAGCGCTCGCCTGGCGTGCGTGCGGCCCGGGTTCGATCCTCAGCACCACATACCAACAAAGATGTTGTGTCCGCCGAGAACTAAAAAATAAATAT